ACACGTCTCTACGGGGATAGATATTTTATATAAGGGAAGTGAACGTCTCTACGGGGATAGATATTTCATATAAGGGAAGTGCACGTCTCTATGGGAATAGATATTTCATATAAGGGAAGTACACGTCTCCATGGGGATAGATATAATAGATATTTCATATAAAGGAAGTACACGTCTCCATGGGGATAGATATTTCACATAAGGGAAGTGCACGTTTCTATGGGGATAGATATTTCATATAAGGGAAGTATACGTCTCTACGGGGATATATATTTCATATAAGGGAAGTGCACGTCTCTATGGGGATAGATATTTCATATAAAGGAAGTACACGTCTCCATGGGGATAGATATAATAGATATTTCATATAAAGGAAGTACACGTCTCCATGGGATAGATATTTCACATAAGGGAAGTGCACGTTTCTATGGGGATAGATATTTCATATAAGGGAAGTACATCTCTCTACGGGGATAGATATTTTATATAAGGGAAGTGTACGTCTCTACGGGGATAGATATTTCATATAAGGGAAGTGCACGTTTCTATGGGAATAGATATTTCATATAAGGGAAGTACACGTCTCTATGGGGATAGATATTTTATATTATTGAAGTACACGTCTATGTGAACCAGTTTCTATAGAAAGCTTACATCCATGTGATGCCAGACGATTCTGATCAGTTTTGAAGGAGTGACGCATGTAATTCTAAAAAAATACTGTAATTATTGTTTAATCCAATTTTAAATTGAATGTTTTACACAGTATGTTTGAGGTTATAACCCAAACTTATTTTTTATAAGAATTTCGATCACAAGTAAGTACGTGTTATTTAAAAATATTATAAATAAGCAACAACTGCATATGCTACTATTACATTGTTATCTGAAATGACGCTATACAATCTGGTTATCATACATTACGTTGTTTTGAAATTTTATTCGAAGAGATTTTCTCGTTACATTCACATTTCAGGGTTTCAAATTACAATGCAGGGTGGAATATAAACCACGGCCTGCTAAACAGTAGATATTCTTGTTTCACACGCAATGGACAAGTAACTGTTGTCGTCATTGTGTTCGATTACTAGTCTCATTTATAAAACGCTGTGATCCACAATACTCTCAATTTATGGTCAACATGTACTTAAACAAATTGGGACTATTATTACAAATTTGCGTATGACAACAAAAATTGAAACGAGAGGAACATGTGAAGTATTACAACACGTATTTTATGAAAAAACTAGAAATATGTTAACATCACACTTAAGTGGAAATGTTGGCCGTCAATATATTGTTTTTTGGAATATTTTAAACCTTATTTACAAGTTGGCATAATTATGAATACAAGTATACCAGTGCATTACATCACGTATGTTATGTATTATTGATAATTGTGATAGCATATTGGAATGTATAATTAATGACATATATAACGTATGAACTAGTATTATTTTTTATAATTAATCTAAAAGAATATAATTAAGTAAAGCCAAGATGATATTTAATAACATACCTATGTAATATTTTGAATCAGAATCATTATATTCTTAATATTAATGGGCACAACATTTCAGATAATGCTTATTACACGAGAATGTGTGGGTATATAGACGTGTTGTATAGAAACACATTTCATTTCCGGTTTACTACAAGCTGGTGCACACACGCTCTTAGTTTTTCATTTATACGTCTTGATTTTATTATTCAGTAGTTTCATGCATTATTTGTGACGTATTTGACAATGTTTGATTCATGCTACGCTGTTTTATTTTTATGCTATAATTTAATTCTCTTCTCACGTTGTAAAGATTATGTATTTCTAAAAACACAAAAATTCAACCGTATCATCTAATATTTTTGAATGCGCATGGAATGCGCATATCAACTTCAGATGATTGATGGGACAGAGTGTACGGTATGAATGAATCACTTACTTCTGTATACAGCGTATTCCCCAACATCGGCTGATTTGTCTTTTTTTTGGTTTGCTTGGAAAGTCCATAGTCCAGAATCAGTCAGTCGAACCACCCACCTACTATCCAGTAAACAATTAGACGACTTCAATCTACCATGCATCTTCAATGGACTCTTATGTAAATATGTAAGACCCTTTAAAATACAATCACATTTATAGAATGTGATTATTGAAATGATACAAAATAGTCGGTTCACTCCGAGCTTTACATGTTTTTATTAAATATGGTTTTTGTTTAGAAGGTTTTACGTTAAACATTTATTTCACTTTTGTCGTGAAAGAATTTCCGCCATCGTATTTTCAAATGACGTCACACTTGCAATAACCTTGATATTAATACTATGCGAGTGTTAATTTAAAGTTAATATTTGAATGTGTACAAAATATTACTATCTAAAAATTAATCTCCCCTTCGATTTTCAAACATGTAAAATATATTTATCGTGACGAAATACACATAAACGTTTTCTATATAGTCCACTTGTATTAAAATTTCTATTATCCAGCATTAAAAAGCACTCAGACTACCTTAAATAACCAACTATGAGTGCTAATGCCGAGTGTACATATTACAATTCTATTGACTACGACTGGTTTACAACCGAGTTGTACGGTTTACGGTGTGTGGAGGTCTTTATGACTACTCGCTGACTGATTGACGGCCGGAATAGTGTAGTGTGCTGTGATTATATTTGTTTATCATTTATCATGTGATCTTCAGTTTGATTACTGAAAATAATTGCGGAAACATGGCTGTAATCGGGGAAAGACGAATAAAACTATAATAAGGAATCTAAAAATGATGAATGATTTACTGTTTTTGTTACCAAATAAGGAATAATTCTGGTTAGGAATGAAACCTTTAGAAACCATAAATTTGCGTGGAATAAACATTTGCTGATAACCACTCCCCCTCAAAAAATTATTTAATATTTGATCTCAACACAGAAAGCAGAAAAAAGGCTGACCAAACTGTATGTGTCATCTTCGTGTATAGGTAACAGGAAGCGCGCATACGTCAATAGAGAACAATTTGCTTGCAATCATAGCATGAACAGATGCTAGCATTCTGAATGATAAAATCGGGTGGTAGAATAATCGCAACAAAATTTTGGTTGTTCGCCGGGTTTAAATATTAAAATGATGATTGCGAATTTCGGGAAAAAACTGACGAGAAACTCACTCGTGCGCGTGTAAGCGCAAAAACGCAAAATACATTGGAGCTGCACATAGTATATTTATTACCTGTTTTCTTCCGTGCGGAAACAGTGTATCGTCGGTTTTATCGCATCTATCTTGTTATCAATATTGCCGGTTTTATCGCATCTAATCTTGTTATCAATCGTCGGTTTTATCGCATCTAATCTTGTTATCAATATTGTCGATTGATTTTGTGGTGCGCCTCGTACATCTACGCGTTGAATCTATGGAGTGCGTTTCAAGCCATATAATCTAAAACGCGCACTACACGGCGGCTACATTTTGGTCCTTGAAAATATGTTAGAATGACCCAAATGTGAAATGACCCACGTGAAAATCACCATATATCACAATATATCGAGAATTTAATTATTACATTCCAGGAATTGTAACGTTAACAGGTGAATCCCATACTCTTAAGTAGCACTTTCGATTATAGTACAATTCGAGGAAAGACGATGAAAGAAATGTAAATAACCAATAATAGCATCACAACTATTTTGCACCATATTTTACATGGAAGTATATTATATTTTTGAAACCAACAAGTAATTAGGAATTGAACATCACACAGTGAAATGTGACGGTGCGCGTTTTCAAATTGGAATGCCAGATGGAATATGCAAATATGGAAAACCCGCGAACGAATATAATTATTCAAACTGATTAATTGATTACGATCAGTGTGAACAGATCAAGGTTAATAAATGGTATTCATGATTCCATGATAACATTATTATTACTCGTCTTTTCCAAATTGTGGCTATAGTTTATTGAGAAGTACCAGACCGAAACGCATTCTCAAGCAACTCTAGTGTCACGCGATGTTGTTTTTGCCGTGTTGTTAGAAAGTGTGCAAGTTGTCGTAAATATGATGCAAATGAGGAATGAGTACAAATACAAAGAACGCTAAGTTGTCTCGCTTTCGTTGACATATATAGTAGGATAATCGAATTGTTATATTTGTCGTAAGCTTAAATGTAAGAGTGGTGCTTTTTCATATTGCTGATAACATTAAACTTAAAGAGTGGGCGTTGTCACCTGCGCATGCGCCAGACGGCCATAGCGCGTCATTGTTTACAAACAAGCGTCTAGCCGGGAACCTTCGCGGTTTTAGCGTGCGTTATCATCGCTTGGGACTCAATTCCTGCGCGTGCGCAGATGAAGACCCGTCCGCTTCAAACTTCGTATTTCTGATCTGTAATTAACGACTATACCAATGAAAACGAGAAACAACTTTTAGTAATGTATTACAATGGCATCAGTGTAGTAAAATCAATCACAAATAACACACTATGGAATGTACTTACAGCTGTTATATCGGACGCAAATGACATCTTAAACATCCAGTCTAAACTGATAGCGTCGTTCTCAATAACATCCTTCAAATATAACAACACATCATATAGTTAGTAGTTAATTTTGACAAATACGTGGTATATTACAAATATTGCAACATATGAACTGAAATCCAAGAGCTGGTGTTTATGGGCTATTTTGCATTAGGGGTTATGACAGAATCGCTCGAACAATTGAACACCGTTTAACGGTTTACACGGCACTAATACTGCGAGATATATGCAATGGTATTAATTAGATTAAACCAAAATAACAAAGCGATACCTGTAAACTTCCTTTGGGACAGTACTGCATCAGAATACAGATATTAGGAGTATCTACGCATGCGCCAATAAATGGATTAATATTGTCGTGCCGAAGTTCTCTCATCTGTAAATAAAAACAAATACAACTGTATATTAAATTTATAATTTATTACATATGAATATATTCAAGTAGATGCAAATATGCCACGTGACGTTATATTTACGTAAGAACACACATAAAACGGAATTACACTAAACCGAATCCTTTACGTCTTCAACCTACTACTGGCATTTTTATCGACGCTTTGGAAATGTCAAGTTGTATCAAATCAAGTGAAACATACTTACGACTTTCAGTTCTACAAGTTGAGTTCTGTCAAGTTGTATGGCGTCTTTATGGACCTTACGAATTGCCACTACTTCAGACTGAAAGCGTAAAAACACATTACTAAGTCACGTTAATAACAAGGTCATTAGCGTCGAACATCGCGAGAAATAGAACACCAAGCGTCAGAATTCAATACAATTCTCATATATGCAAACAAAAGTTAGTAAAGCCGTGAAAAGAAAACATTTGAGTTCATAAAATAACCTCAAATATGCCACGAATGATTGACGTTCACTTTAACAAGATAAATATGAAATACAATTGCAAGCTCGACAAGAGACACATGCCAATCAAACTGAAACACGTACTAATTTACTGTCAGGGCGTGTTACTCAATATTAGCTGCCAGGGTATTCATCCATCGACCTAACAATATATTTCGATCAAGTCTGCATCGATCACATACAGTTTCACACAATTGGTCTATAATTTGTTTTTCTTGCAATATATGTCACATAGTATTATGTATTTTTTTAGGACTGTGAGTGTGTAAATATGAATTCATTCTAGTGAAATCGTTCAAAAATGGGAATAATACTGATACAAAAAGACAGAACACTCCTAATTTCTCGTTTATTATTCTAAATTTACATGCAGTTGAAAAAATGTTACACATGTCAACGCTAGGCACGAACTGGTTGAACTATACGCAATAACTTGCTTTTACTTTTTGCAAATGTAACAGTGCAACCATACATTTTATGTTATAAGTGACGTAATGTAATATACGTGTCAGATGATTTGAGGCATACTGTTTCTTGAATGCATCGAGGACATTAATCGTTCGACACTTTCATAGCCAGCACATTTGGATATGTTAAGTTCCTTGCGTATTAATTACACACGGACAGTTATAATTAAAGACGTCGACATTCTAGTCACGTTATTAGTCAGTCCAGGTAGGCCTGGATTGTAGTCAATTTCAGGATTATTCATACGTGACGTAATCATAAATATGACGTAATAATTTATATTATCAGATTACCATTGTGCGTATTATTCGGTGTTGCAAGTTCATTATGAACATATTATTGTTTATATGCCACGGTCGGAATATTTAAGTTAAACGATATCATTTCCGGTGTGTTCAAATAGACAAATCCTGGAATAGCGTTCTTTTTATCACAGCGATATGATGACACTGTCTACAACATCACAATCGAACAGGTCTACTAAGAAAGATGATGTGATAACCTCAACAACAATTTCATAACAATAACCATAACAGCTGCCACTGCTGTGCTTGCTGAATATTAGATAAACTTTTCCTGAAAACCCTGGTTCTATTATGTATTATGTATACTGTATTGTGATGTGCCATGATTGTCTATTGTTATAAAGTATGTTAATGTACAAAAAAGTGACATATTGTGATGTGCCATGACTGTCTATTGTTATAAAGTGGGTTAATGTACACAAAAGTGACATATTGTGATGTGCCATGACTGTCTATTGTTATAAAGTGGGTTAATGTACACAAAAGTGACATATTGTGATGTGATATGACTGTCTATTGTTATAAAGTGGGTTAATGTACACAAAAGTGACATATTGTGATGTGCCATGACTGTCTATTGTTATAAAGTGTGTTAATGTACACACAAGTGACATATTGTGATGTACCATGAATGTCTATTGTTATAAAGTGGGTTAATGTACACAAAAGTGACATATTGTGATGTGATATGACTGTCTATTGTTATAAAGTGGTTTAATGTACACAAAAGTGACATATTGTGATGTGCCATGACTGTCTATTGTTATAAAGTGTGTTAATGTACACAAAAGTGACATAGTGTGATGTGATATGACTGTCTATTGTTATAAAGTGTGTTAATGTACACAAAAGTGACATATTGTGATGTGATATCACTGTCTATTGTTATAAAGTGTGTTAATGTACACAAAAGTGACATAGTGTGATGTGATATGACTGTCTATTGTTATAAAGTGTGTTAATGTACACAAAAGTGACATATTGTGATGTGCCATGACTGTCTATTGTTATTAAGTGTGTTAATGTACACAAAAGTGACATATTGTGATGTGCCATGACTGTCTATTGTTATTAAGTGTGTTAATGTACACACAAGTGACATATTGTGATGTGCCATGACTGTCTATTGTTATTAAGTGTGTTAATGTACACAAAAGTGAAATATTGTGATGTGTCATGACTGTCTATTGTTATAAAGTGTGTTAATAATGTACACAAAAATGACATAGTGTGATGTGCTATGACTGTCTATTGTTATAAAGTGTGTTAATGTACACAAAAGTGACATATTGTGATGTGCTATGACTCTCTATTGTTATAAAGTGTGTTAATAATATACACAAAAGTGACATAGTGTGATGTGCTGTGACTGTCTATTGTTATAAAGTGTGTTAATAATGTACACGAAAGTGACATAGTGTGATGTGCTATGACTCTCTATTGTTATTAAGTGTGTTAATAATGTACACAAAAATGACATAGTGTGATGTGCTATGACTGTCTATTGCTATAAAGTGGGTTAATGTACACAAAAGTGACATATTGTGATGTGCTATGACTGTCTATTGTTATAAAGTGTGTTAATAATATACAGAAAAGTGACATATTGTGGTGTGCTGTGACTGTCTATTGTTATTAAGTGTGTTAATGTACACACAAGTGACATATTGTGATGTTATATCAGTGAATGTAGGTATAATTGGTTGCAGTAAAATGACATATTTATGATGGGAATATTGTAAATTTCCAATTATATATAAATGAAATATATAAATGGACGTACTTATACACTTACATTGTAATTTCCAACAGTAGTAAACACTTGGGCTTGTCCTTCATTGCTTGCTCGTCCACTAGTTGCCATTGACATTCGGGAAAACATCATTGATGCCATCACGCTTCCAGCACGTGACTATTGATTTAAGAATTTGTGTTTACTATTCATTTCAGGTATAACGTTAAGTGATGTTAGTCACGACAATATATTAGCCTATTGTGATATTCATTGTAAATTCTCTGTCTTGTAAAGATTGAAGGAAGGTGGTCGTTGCGCCACGCATGTGCGACATTAGTATTGATAAACATTGATTTTCCCACAATCCAATGCGCTCTTGTTATGAAAATCAAAAGTACGGTTTTGACCTGGGTGCAACGTGCACTAATTACCGCCGTCTCAATTTGTACTCGTTGGTCTGCACAACAGTCAAAATGACCATCTTTGTTCATATGAGTCCCATATCTCGCGAATGCGTGGCGCGAAGTGAACAACAAGTGAAGAAGCGTAACTAAGGTGTTTAATCACTAATTTAAAAAGCACATTACCTTTCCGCCTTTTGAGAAAATAATGTCATTATAATCAACTTTCCATTGGGCACTTAGTAATTCTTGCTCAAACTTGTATTTGTTGTAGAAAATCAAACCCAGGAAAAGAGCTGCTATTAGTAGGATAAGCAAGACGACGCTGACTATGATGATAGTTGTATAATCTAAAAAATACAATGGGTAAAACCTTGTATAAGCAAGACGTATATTTATGTGGCGAGAAAAGAAACATTCTCTATGTGTGATTATTATTGTATGTACTGGATAACCAGTTAGATGGCACATCTGTTTGTTGTCGTCATCTCTCAACAACGCCATATTTTTCCTGATAAAATGTTGGCGACACATAATAAATCATTGCCTGACGGCTTCAAGGATGTAACACTCACCTTTCTCTGGCTCAATACATAATTCACCATGGAATCCACATTCTGGCATATCAATCGGTGGTTCTGAAGATCCACTAGGCCATGTAAACCTTGTTGCGTCTATGTATGACCAAGTTGACAATACACCATCATATTCTTGGATAATATCAAATGTTTCCGTAGCCGACTTAAAACCCATCATGACATAATCTTGGTTCCTATCCCCATTTGCATCTATGCTTACTCTGCCAGTCATACCTGTAAACACAAATGACAATGAATCGATTTATCTCAGTTTATTACATCTGTCATGGATTACAATTGACTTCATAAACATATTAATATTAATGTGTTATTATTATTATTTATTCAATAACTAGTTGCTTACTTGAGACTGTGACAGGACAACACAATTACAAAATATTGTTTAGTGTGTATGTGTGCTTAATTAATTATGAATACCAATAATAATCAAATAGTTGCATAATTTAATCCAATATTGGAGAAGTAAAGCAAACACGTACAATTTAATTATCCGAATTAGCGCTAACTCTTTATTGATGTAATTGTATATAGTTTACATATTGGGTGCTTTATAATGTATCACATTGTATGTAATCAACATTCCAATACATGACTACATTACTATCAGGAGATATTAAAACTTACATACTGCATTGTTATTATTTCTCTGATTTGTTTTTGCCTAATATAGACTTCCAGAGTAATACACTTGCAGAAACTTAAATTAATATTGATGTGGTCAGAATAAATTTATAAATTGAAAGTGTTAGTTTCATGGCCACATGTAATATTATGAGATGTAAGTTAATTTTAATTAGCATACCATTGAAGTTTACTGCTCGCATTCTTGCACCAAAGGCTGCACCATCGTATGGGTCCTCCCCATATTTCAACATAGATGCGACGGTTAGTGCATACAACCAGAAGCAGTCATACAAATATCCGGCATCTACAGTAACCTGTGCGATATGTCGGTATGTAAATTTTATTAATGAACAAGTTTATTAAAATGACTATAATTCGTTATATGTTGTGGTTTTGATTTGTAAATAAGCCAAACAACCAATCTAATGAATTGTCACAAAATTGTACATATTCCGAAAATAGCTTATCTTGGATAATTTGGTTTACTCGGTGCAATAATTCGGATTTAAGGAGATAGCCATAATGGGGTTTTAATTTTCTCGTTTTTGAGCAGTAAAATATTGATCGTTTTCTCTAATTTAAAATGCAGGATAGTGATATTTTTTGTAAATACAATCTCCGAAAACTAGTATATAATTTTGAAATTTGTATGATTTCTAAAGAACACGTACCAGTGCACTGGATGAGAGATTTGAATTCCATGGAGGGTTCATGTTAGCCAGCCAGACCTCTTCTACAAATGTATTATATTCATTACTCTTATATTCCACTAAATCTAAAACAACCAGCGATCGGTATGCTATTGCAGCGTCTGCATCTCGTAAATCCCATTCTAGTCCAAAGCTACCGGGAGCCCGGTGCCAACCCTCTCCCTGAAAACAACACGAATACAAGTTATTCTATCACACAGATGTGTGAGCAACATCTATCTGGGAAACATTGCGTTCATCTGTCTTCATTCATTCGATATCGCAAATAAACCTATCCTTCATTTCTATTTGAATATTTTCTGTGACTAAACTTGTAACTATAACAACGTACACGGAAAGCTGTGATATATAAAAATACATATGTGCCCGATTGGAATCATTGTTTGCTTCAGTTACAATGATAAGGAGAATGTTGTTTCAGTTTATTCATCTATAAATACTGTGAATTTTAAAGATATTCATATTAGTGTGAAATATTATTTTAAATATTATGACAGGTTTCGAAAATTACGACCTAATTATAAAGTATTGTCTAAATTTTCTTTAAAAGTAACTTACCTTGAAGTTATCGCGAGTTCCGTCGATGTTGATAAACAAATATTTTCCGCTATCCAGTAAACCCAGGTCATAGGCTTTCAACAATATCCAGCGTACACGACGTTCAACTGCTGCCAATATGATGACTACGGAGATAAGAGAGATTCAATAACACGTACGAATAATTCACACCAAAGACGAGTAGAATGAGATATGTTCACAAATTTTACTTAAAAAGAATTTATTATTTTTAGTTTAACCTCGAGGTCCATATATCATTTTTCTTTCATTATATTTTGTGAATACTCTGGGAAAGTTTCCATCTAATATAACACTTTACTCCCCGGATTACTGCACATATTGACCTGTATGTGTGTAATTGTACTTTATGTCACGTCATATATATTGTTATTGGTAGATGTTCATTGTACTTTGTTCATATCTGTATTGCTATAAAAGGTCATATGTGCAAAACGAGGCCATGAACCTATTTTTTAGATAAATGAAATATTGCATTGTATGGAAATCGAACTTTTGGCGAAAAATAGAAATAGAAAATAGACCCGATAAAATAGAAAACAATTTGTTTGAAACGAGGTTCTGAATCTTGTAATTTAGAACACACAATCGCATCTGAAAGCTAATTGACATATATATCATCGTTATATCATGTGGTTTAAGTAATAAAATAATAGCAGAAATGTACGTCAGAACCGCACAGAGGCAATTTTCAAAGGGTTACTATAATAATGCATTGTCATTCTTTTGTGTCATATATCTCATATAATTTGAGTTGTTAGCGCTATAACATTCACAAGCCATTGTTACTATTATGATGATAAAAAAGCAAATAGTTATTGCTGTGCCACCTGATTAGAAGCGACATGTGTACTCTGTGTTTATTTTATGATAATCTAAAATGTCTATTCTCTCAGCGGAAAAGACCTACACACAGTATACTATTCTATATTAGTAGTTATAAACACCATAATGTAAAATAACATGCAACAGTGTACTTTGGTTATGTAGTATAACCCCCGTATGTGTGTACATTGCTATATATACACACTGTATTTGTACAGTATTGAAGCAATAATAAGACACGACACCCATAGACACATAAAACAACATATATCACCAAACACGTTCCTTAATATAAAGATAATTTGTTAATTTAAGTTATTATATAGGCATCCCAATAGAGTACTAAAATAGAGTCTAAAGTTCGAAAATACAATTGAATATGTAGATGCACATTGGATGCAAATTAATGAATTAGGGCTTTGTAATCAGTATAAGCTTTCAAACAACTGTGATGTATAAATGTTATCTGTACATAATTATCATAATACTATAAAGTAATTTCCCACCGGGGATACTGTATTCGTCAAGATGTCGTGAATTGACGCAGTTCATTACACAAAATTGGTTATAGGGATTCTTTTGCCGCCATATATCAACTATGGTTGTTGTAAGCCGTAGGTACTAATAGCCTTCTTGATGTGGTCACGTGATATTGCACAGTTTACTCAATTGATCGAATATTACTAGAAACACACACTATGTGTATTTGGCTTGACAGACTAGAATTCATATGAGACGTCCGTAGATCAGTTACATTATGACCTATAGTCTATAATCACTGCGCCTATAGTCAAGAAAATCACTACACTACTCTCTCTTCATGCACACGACTCTAATGGATGCTATTCACAAAGATCTTGGTTTAAATAAAACATTTGTTTGAACACCAAATTTCAGCAGCAACCAGTTCAGACAATATCACGGGCGTAGATAATCAAAGACAATGTACAATAAAGTCACAAAAACAGGCATTTGTAATATTCTAGTATCCGGAACTTTATTTAATTAAGGTTGTCTGTTATGCCGTAAACTTATATTAAGCTGAGACCCCCTTTTACAGTTATTTCCGTCGTCTCACAGTAATGTCGCAAATCATTGTAAAAATTATTCTGTTTTTGTTTACGTATGCCAATGATAACACACTGGTCGCGGACCAATAGTGTTACAACTCGTGCGAGTAAACACAATATTCACAAATCTGAATGCCGCTAGTCTGGCAAGCGGGCAGTAAGTACGCGTTGGTTTGAAGCATATTGTGTTAAAGACTAAGCAAGCTCGTGTAGGTGAGAGTAACCTATTCATAAGAACACAATGCAACGGTGATTGAATTTACATTATATTTCTAATAAACACATTACTATATATTAATAATACACATAGAGACTTCCATGCATTTAACACAGTCCATACACATATTAGTATAGTAATTAAAACATTGTTTTCATCACTGATGTCAAAGACATTTTGTTGTACACTGCTATCTCCTCTGTGAAAAAAGATTATTTCAATATAAGCGATAAGTACGGCGTCAAATTGAATTTCCTAATTATAGTAATTATTGTTCAACCGGTGTTTGAATGTTATCATAGAGCGCACCGAACAATAAACCTACAATGCCAGCAGGAGGTACAGATAAGATACGTCGGGGGTCGAGCACGACACGCGTGATTAATCTATCCATAATACAACCACTGGTAAAATATTGTCCAGGGCGTCAGTTGTGTTACAGTTAACGGATATACCAAGGTTGACGACAGATGTTGCTAACATCGTGAATGAATTGTATGATTGAAATCAATGATCGATGGAAATTTGTTTCCGAAATGACGATTCAAGATCAAATTTGACGACCAATGTATATGTACCAATGTATATCCCTGTACGGTTTCCATGGTGATGTGAACATGTCCTTAAATAGCCGTATAAACTGACACAATGTTATTGCAGTTAAATGTGTGCACATTTCACATATGCACGTTTCATGAAGTGCTCACAATGTGTTGATATAGGTAACCCAAATAAATTGTTTTAGATCATTTTAGTATGTCATTTGATGTACCAATTGAAACGAGGTGACATATGGCCTTCATCATGAATCAAACTGGATAATGGTATTTTCACAGGAAGCGACGTATATACGTGCTTAGTACAATTATTCTAGTATTCACTAATCTAACCCCATACGGACATGTAGCACTTTATATACCAATTGAATTTCAACTAAAATACTCTTAGTTTTAATATGACGGCGACAGGGGAATTATTTATTTATCCTTGATGTAAATTAACTGTACTGGTGCATTCGGTGCGTAATTTCAGTTTATTCACAAAAACCCATTATGAGTAAAAAAATGCACAAAACATTCACATAAACAATAACGGATTAAACACTGTGGATTAATTTGCATATATTTTGAAGCTGTTTTATGTGTCAAATGGCCAAAATCACAGGGTCCAGCGGAATATATCTCCAGAACTGGGAACATAGACAAATTCCAAGAACCCATGTCAAAGAATATTATCTTGTAAAGAAACTGTGCAAACATCACAACAAACCAAATTGGGATAAAACAGCCAATCCTACGAAAACAGTCAGAGGTTCAGGGGAACATTCGTAACTTAATCTTCTAAGCAAATATTAGAACGAGAAGAATATCTTATTCCGACAAACATATATTACCATAGTTACATGGTTAGTAGTGGTTGGAGAATGTCATAATCACTCATCATCATCTTATTCTAACAGACTTCTTAAACATTTATTAACATATTATTTTCATTAAATTTATTACGAATGTAACAAACTAAAAATGTAAATTTTCTTGAAATAACATTCATCTTATCTTTACGGTGTATTATAATTTGATATGCCCTGAGTATAGAAGTTATTTTTCACTCGTGATGAGGTGTTTCCTGTGGCCGTATTTTCACGATCAGAGCACAGTTCTCGGTCAGGATTAGGTTGGAATAGATTGTTCATTTGACACAATATTTTAAATGAAACCATGCTGGGTTTGAAGTAATATTTGTTGATATAATAGAAATACAATTTTGAAAAGACCACGGGAGCCTTTATTAACAAATAAATATTTCCACGATAAGATAAAAGAATTCTATACCATAGTGTTTTAGTAAACCGTGATTACACTAAGTATTAGCTATAAAAAATGAACACACGTAACATCTATAAATGTATGTCTCCGTGTCTTTATGGTTTATTGTGTATTACAATGCAATTTGCTACAATTTGGACAGTCGTTATATTTTCGTACCTTTCATGACTGCAAAATATGTTTCATGCGTACGTACTATATTCAGTTCAAAACGTATATTGAATATAAACATAAATTACAATTTAAACAGATAAACTATATAAACTTTGTATTGCAGGAAATCTGAATACATGATGTTACAGGTTATACGAATATTATCGCCCTCAATAAATTGAACGCTTTCTATAAGGTTGGCTCATTCACGCGGTATTGCACTTTGATTAATGCGATCTCGTGCGATGAACCTCAAACCATATGAAAACTGTGTTACTGATAATTTTACTTATACTTTTTGAAACATTTTGTTCATTCACAAAAGTACTTTTCACCAACATAACGAATGTTTATCATATGCACGTAAGTTAACATTACTAATGGTCAACCTACACCCGTCTCCTGAGATATCATTGTAGGTCTGAAATAAAAGTTATGCATGCATCAGTGTCAATGTCAACGTCTGCGTTCGACTTCTAATTGTTCGTATACTATGTATTAACATATTTTAATAGCTGCAAAATGACACAGACGCTGTAAACGGATATGTATGATACAAAATTATGTATTATAAAATGTACATGAAAACATACTATGAATAATACTAAACATAAGATTTGTTTTGACGTTGGGCTTTCTTAATTTTGATAAATTCTAGCAAAATATTACTTATTTGTTCAATTATTTGTTCACACGCAAATATTGGCATGCACCCCCCGTATATAACATATATAAATTATTGGACACAGTTCATTGCAAGGTGTGTGATATAAGTAATTTCAAGTATTATGCGATGAAGTTGTCACTCAAACTGTTGAAGACTCACGTTAATTACGAGATCATCACAAAATGTATAACTAGAATGTAATTCTTTGATACAATTCGTGTTTATTACATCTGTCAAATGTTTGTGTTAGTATTGGTCATTTTTGCTCGTTGAACCGCTATATGCAAAATATGTATAACGTGCTGGTCACGTGACATGATTATTTGGCCATCATTATATCATATAATAATGAATGATTTGTACTGTCTTGGCAAAATCTGGGTCAGTCAAAAAAATAATTTACATATATTTGCAAAGATTGCGACAGTCTCAGGTGGAATTGAACTTGGCTACTTAATTCTAAAGTGACGCTTGAACATCGCTGTTAACATATGTTAGCCAACAACACACGTTTAATCACGTGATCAAATGTATGAGAATATAAAGTCGTAAAACCTACGTACTGCTCAGATAATATGATACGAAAGACATTAGTTACGGTTTTAATGTGGTAAGAAGTGTTTTCTCAGTCAACTAATGCCAGCTGTGATCGCCGTTTAAAGGTGTAAGTATGTACTTCGATTCCCAATAATAGCGTGAGATAGTCGCATTAGTATCTAATGTACTGAACATGAATAATAAACAAGATGTTGTACTTGGGTTTCATTGAAATTCTTTGAATTTTGATGAGAATAAACCGCCCCCATTACATGAATATGTGATTTATTCAATGTGTGCAGATATGCACGGTTTGGCAAAGTGGCAAATTTAATATTCTCGAACAAATAACAGTGGAATATAATTGGCATAAATCAATATTGTACGGATGTAATAAAACTATTAATCAACGTGTATTCCTATGTCCAGACAAGTAACATTAAAATTGTTTACTTGAAAATCTAAATCTATGTAATAAATATGTATGCTACATCGTTCATGACACATAAAGTTGTATTCAAAGTTTCATATAAAAGGTTTTGAAAACAATTATGCATATCCGCTTCAACCCCGAAATTCATGAGACACTGTAAGTGGACACAGTTCAACTCAACTCTCATCTAATTAGAGGACGTAAACATCAAGTTCACGTCTTCAGATAATGAAATAATTACCTTGTCATTTAAAGTACAGATTTATATGATACAAAACATAATTCAATTTTCGTATTCAATTTGTTACAATATTCTTTTATAGAGGATGTGAATTCAAATATGTTATACAAAACGGTTGTATATGATACTTGCGAAAGTCGCAAAATTAAATCTTTCTGTTTGTTGTCGAATAAAAAGTCTTAGAAAGGGTAAATTACAGAGGGCGATAGTGGTGTATTATACACGTTCACGAAAGCCATGTCTTTATTATTCACATGTCGATTCAGAGAGTAAATCGAATGTCATTTTGAATGCAATCTGATATAATGGCTTTGCCTCGTTCTGTATGTTTAAACTGATATCATTAACGAACCCATTATATATTTTAGTCTATTAAAGAAGTTAACATCAATCACGATTACTGTCACGTAGCACATCCACCCACTACAGTCAAGGGCAGTTCTCCTCACGCATATTTTAGGCAATGCCACATCATTAAATCTAATCTACACTAGGTAATGGGTAATACCCGTAACAAATCATGATAATAAAATTAAAAACTCAAATCAACAAAAGTGCTACTTCTTATTCCTATCAAAATAATACAATAAAATAATGTTGAAGTATAACCATTCTAACGTCATTGTCAGTCATTGCTGTCAATGAATATACGTGTAGATATATGCATCCTATTTTCATATTTTGACAGACACCACTCAACATCTCAGTCCGTGACGCATTGAATCGGTCGGGCACGGGTTATAAAACTTTTGACCTTTAGTCAATAGAACACCACGATACACTGAAAGCTTCCTTCCCCTAATGAATGTTTTATTCGTCATGTAGTCATTTAGGTGAATACAGAGTATCTCATTATGTGACAGAAAATATCACCCAACTTAAGTCTACTTGGAAACATCGATTACCGTGCAGAGTGCCAATAATACCTATTACTGATTATTGAACGTGGAGGGTGGCGCCAACTACTTCACACTCCATGTGAACAATCTGCAAATTTGTACTTTAGCCAAAGGTCAGATTTGTATGCTATCAATACATCTGTATAAGAAAGTCCCATATGGGACGTAATATTATTTATTGCATGAGATATTCGAATGTGTTCCAATGTGTCTCACGAGTGTGATTAGAACCAAGACGACATTGCGACATGCATTGATAATGAATGGTTTCACATGCGGTGATCGGCAGGTAACACGATGTCTCATAAAGGCAGTATGTCACTCGAACGTTATGTAGTGAAACATAGTTAGTTTTAAAATATATCTATGATTAGTCGGCATTTGTATTAGTCAACAACGTTTTGTATTCACTGTTAAAAACATAAAATTTAAAATTCAACTTTTTATTTATCCCAGAGTGATATTACTCAAAAGATTCTAATTGTACCGATACTGCATTTAGTATTTTATATAACAATTGCTTATACGCTTTACTGACTGACGTACGTGCATTTACATGCTATTATATATGTGTTTGACTTATATGTCGACCATGAATGTACAACAAACTGGTTTTATTTCATTGCATTTTGCTAGAATTAAAAAATCTCAAAAGTAAATATATAATGGAAACTCAAATTCAATTCAGTTACATTGCCAGAAAAAAGTTCATAACAATTGATATACATACATTGTAGTGTTGTGTGTAGTTACGTTTAATTTGATTTACGTAGATTCTATGGATACATAAATAGTACTATTGTTTGTCAAGATATCAAGTTAATAATTTAACCAGTTTAATTCAGACTTGAGTTAACATATATTTGTTTTTTTTCTCCGATATGAAATTGGATTTGTGTGGATACATATAACTCGCTGATGTATCCTTGTATGTTTGAATTTTGTATACATATAATGTACACTATTTCAAAAAAGTATACATTTGGTACAAAATATTATACAATTAATCTATTTTTGAGGCATTCGTGTTATTAAGCGTGGTCCATTATCGAAGCATCTTTGACAATGACGTGTATTTCCAATGATCACTTAGGACTATGATTTGTATCAATTTATAAAATGAACTCTATCACAATTGTCTTATTTTAATACAACACATGCACAGGTTGCTTGTTTGTTTATTCAGTTGTACAATGTCAACTTTAATTATCAATTTTAGACATTGTCTGATCTTGTTTATTATTATTTTATGTTTTTGCTTCAAGGGAACGTAGGGGCATTTAAATAAGTAATAAAACACCAGCCTGGCCTGACATCATCATGCATAGCATGAGATAGAAGAATGAGCGTAAACGCACCTCTTTTGTCCTCGGCTGTATACTACTGACACAGCAATGCCGAAAAGCAATGTCAACATAAACACATGAGGTGATATCACGTATACTTCAGAGAAAGTATATGAACGAAGGTATATTGCATTAGTTTCTTATTTTTTATATGAAAATAATGGATTATATTTTAGTACTGAATAAAGCATGAGCGGATTTAGAGGGGGCGAGGGGCCGCCCCCTATTTTTAACAACCAACAGGTCTCGGCGCTCGCAAACTTGGCCTTCGGCCAACTTATCGGCCCCCTATTCCAGAATCCTAGATCCGCCCCTGACAAGCCATGACATTTCGTTCAGAAAATAAATATCAAGAAACGGATTAACACAAACGCAAAAATGAGTAACAAAATATCCCCAAATAATTAAGTAAGCATGAAAGAAAACTTACTCCTAGCTTCTGCAGTAACCTCCAGTATAGCGTCTTCTCGTATCTTTTCAGTTACCGTCAATTCACTATATTTAGTTACGTAATATGTCATGTTTCTGCTTTCCAATCCTGGCAACAAGCTGGTCATCACAATGTCTCCCCAGATGGCTTCAATGTATATGATACCGACGTGATCCCATCCCATCGACGAAATCCAATCTATTGTCGCCGCCACATCTTTGCCTGCCGGAGCAACTACTCGGCTATAAGTGCCAAATTTTTGTTTATCAGAAAGAGATTCACCACGTGCTACATAACTGATCATTGGAAAATTCCACTCAGCAGCCAAAAGTCCGCATACTTCACTTTCAGATGTACACGGTGGTCCAATGACAGCCGCAACACCGACGTCTCTTGCCTGGGTTACTAATGTATCCAAACATTTTTTGGCTGAGCAAAAGGTGTCAGAAAATGTATAGTTTAGTGTAAAGTTTGAGAAGAGGTCGGTGTCTGCGTTAATTCTGTCAACTACTACGTCAACGGCCCCACCAATACGTTGCATTTTGAACGGAGGTACAGGCCAAAATGTGCCGATGAAGGCAACTTGATAATGAACTGCAACTACATAACTTGAACACATGAAGACAACTACCCATAATTGCCGGGACGCGAGTGTCAAATCAATGTGCTTCATTGCTGCAACAAATTTTCCTCACTGCTGTGTATCCTTAAATCGATATCACTAAACTCAGTTGATATAGAATCAGCTACATATGGATCTGTGAAATAGCGGTAATAGAAATATACGTACGCTGATTAGAATAACACACTACTTATCATTAGCAAAGCAACATAATACACGTTGTCACATTCAGCGTAAGAAAACACACAACGTTACATAAACGATTCGACTAATCTATCGCAATTAGAACTAACGAGATAAAAGGAATACATTCAAATATATAAACCTTGCCTATAGTGACGAATGATTTGGTAGAGAGCTTTCACACGCGTTGTTACAACGTATCAAACCAAATTATGTTTGAGTCGCTCTGGAAATTCACGGGGACAGCAAGGCTTTCATTCGCGCAGGCGCAACATATATCTTCCACATCAACGTCGCTATAACAACCGGAGATGAATGTGTAAAAACAAAACTATTTTGAATTTTAAAACCAATAAGGAATAATGTGGTAGTTTACATTGGAATTCAGATAACTTGATGTCAAATGAGCATGTCAATACGAGTCACGTCTTTACGTTTGACAAGCTCAAGTGTGAATTAAAATGTGTATTGCATGCATAGGCATTGAAAGCCATGAGTGCAGCAGTATTTAATTTTTCCATTGTTCATTTCACTGTGTATGGTATATGACACGTACTCTAACTTAGAATATAGCGTGAGTTTAAACATTCGGTGTTGAATTCGGAAAAATAAATATATGATTAATTCTAGTGGGGTGTTATAATTACGGCAGACTGCAATACTGGAAATGTTTGTGAAAAAATACAGCAATCGCATCAATTTAAGACCGTTATTTGTTAGCATGAACATCGGTACTGGTGACGATTATTCAATAATAACATGGACATACAGTACGTAAAAACGAGTGATGCATCACATACGAAGCGATGACATGTGAAATGGTTCCTGAAATTGCATCAACACTTATGTTTGACATAGCTTTTCTTGGCATACAAGCGACAACAATTATCACCTCTTATTACATTGTGTGTTTAACTCCTTCAGATATCTTTCGCCGTTCAACATTTCACGTTAAATATCAAGAGTTTCGATGATACAAACGCTCTATTTAGCTTAAAGGTCCACTATTTGCATAATAATAACTTTTGAAACGATCCTCTACATTTTTTAAAAATGCGTTTTTCGTATCCTAATTACGTATTTGTTGATAGAAGGAAGTTCCAATTTAATAAATTGGAATGTTTCATTAGTTTTTTTATATAAATTATAAAGTGTTTTGTGTTTTCAAGCTCGTGAATATTGTTTATTCGTGAGTTGCTATAGTAACGGTTACAATATCGTTGTCCAATCACAGAGTTGAATGGAAATCAATTGGCTTTGTGCAACTCAATAAAGTATACTGACTATATATTGCGTTTCGGGTGAGTAAATAATGATTTATTTTGCTTCAAAGTTGCTTCAGAATAAACATTCGTGTCACACTTAGATCTATGATGGCGTTTAAACTAAAATAAGGTTTATTTTCATTAAAAATAACGTGTTATTATATGTATTAAAGTACTATAATTATAGCATATAATGTAATAAGTCGATTAAAAATATACTTTTCATAGAAAATGAGTGGAATACAAGAAAATAAACTGCCAACTATTGTGCAACTGTGACGTATTTTATTTTATCCATTTCGTGTGTACGTTCACTTGGATAATTTAAGTTGGTGTTTATAAATCAATATGTAATATTATATGTATAATAAATTCTCACATAAAACACATCTTTGGAATATCCTCAACATAACTTCATCAACAAATAGTACACAGCATAATTCGAATAATACTATATTATCACAGCTTGTAGATGACAATATGAGAAGCAGGAATGTGAACAGTAATTTATTCTCGACTCCCATTATTATTTGTGCAGACAGTGCGATTATAACAATACTCTGAACTTTAGCACGATAGTACTGTAACACAGACACATGTATACAGCTGGAAAGACTCACACGTGAATGATTGCATTATTTCTTAACCTCAAAAGTAATCCTTTATATTTCAGTATAATTCTAAAAATAAATAGGCAAATAAGAATGCAGCTATCTTTAATCTAGCTCCATTTGCAGCATTTCCTAGATAATAACGATTCTTACGTTGTGGCTTACAAAATACTAATTGTAAATATTTTAATGACAGTTACTCAGTGAAGAGTGATAGCTACGTAAACTACATGTAGCTATTTCGTTGGTTTCAAGTAATGAACTTTTTCTGAATCCGATTAGGAAACAACGACGATAATGCCCGACCGTATGAGCCTTCACTTGTTTGAACTAAAACTGCTTAGTTTAGTAAATATATATAAAATGTACGAACACTGTTATAATTTCAAAATTGTCACCACGCATTTATAAAGTGCACTGAAACTTACTCAACGACGGCATGAATAAATATGCTGGCTATATTCGGTACAACATATCGTCATATAGCAAATATAATTGCATTGAATCCATACCACCTTTCCTCGCTACATTGCGATGTACTTGGCAATGAGAACATATTTTTCTACTTAAAATGCGAATCACATAATAGGAATACACAATTTACCGAGTAGGGTAATTTGTGTGATTGCCATCCCGAGGCGAATAATTGTAATAGCTTGGGATCTCAAAGCATGACTGAATCGCCACACTCTCTGTCCTTCTGAGGTAGATAATCGAGAATCCACTATGAATTAGAGTCACAGCCATGAAACTAAAACGCATAGGCGCTCGTGTATACTTAATGCAATGTTTCCGCCATGCTGACAAAACATTCAACACACGATATAACTACAGGACATATTAAAAATGATGCGTTGTCATGGTGAATACTGCATCATTATGGATGAGGTTCTTCCAGCTGTCACCATCGTTTCATTCTGGTTGCAGGCAATTTTTATTCATTTTTCTCCAATACCAGTAAATAATTACAAGTCTACGTTACCTCAAGTCGTATTGTAATTATGGATGCGCCCAAACTCCATCTCTAAATATTGATTTTTGGTATGAAATGAGGAGATATTTCATATAACATTAACATAGCAGTAATGTAGTAGATTTCGCTTTTATTTCAATTGAATTTCCAATGCAAATTGTATTTACTGTATAAATATTAAATAACGACGACTACACGGTCATTACCCGCAACAGATACAGGGTAGGTATGAGTATCACTTAAACTGGATAAGATCTGCATATGGAATAGTTCTCTCTAATGTAGCTTCGACTCTGCTGCCATAATATATTGCAACACGTATCACATGAAATAGAAACTCAAGATTATTTGTTTTCAGGATACTGTGTATAGATATATATTATGACGTCATATTCACTAATCCACCGGTTTTATAGAACATGGATGATATATTTTATATTTAGAATTTATTTCAAATGTAATTAATATGCTTTATTCTCTCCTCCACAATAATTTTTCATTATGTAAAATTGACATTAATGTATTTCATACACCGGTAGCCATGAAATTACACTGTATTATGTTCGTAGTTTTTATTAACAGATTTAACCTAAAGTTATTCAATAAGCTTTTAACAGTAGACGTGGTTAGCCAGTAAATTACAACAAATTCCTTTTAGCTAACAGAGTAAAAGGTTCCATCAACTATATAATATTGAACAAATAAAAATAGAGTGTACCCGTACTTCAAAACAATGAAATTGTGAACCATTCTAGTAGTGAATGAACCCCCTGTCCAGTGTGAGTTCTGTGGGTGGCCCTCTTAATTGCGATAAGCAGGCCTTACACTGTGATACAATGTCTTGTCTTAGGAATGTCAAATAACTACTCAGATGGAACAATTTAGTAAAAATGTCAAAATTGTGTTTCGCTAAATATCATCAAACCTACCAGATCCAAAACATTTGTTTGACGATGCACTGTATCCTGACTGCTGAATAACATTGTTAACTTAGCGACAACTCAGGGTCAGTTAATTAATTATTATGCACATTAATATATCATTCATTGAAGAAAACCAATTACTTCTTATCACGGATACATAAATTTAAAAACGAATGAACAGACATGATACCTAATCAATCATTTAGGCAGCATTTTGTACTGCTATCAAATATTAAACAATGGATATTAATTAATTCGTGTTTCTTTGAAATCTAACATCTATAATTTGATTTACTGTGCATATAATATTCTATTTTATGTGCTAAAGAAAATAATCAGTTAATCCAATACATTATCGTTGATAAGCACCTTTTCATTGAAGATTGAAGATTGAAACAACTATCTCTGTGTACTCGACTTGCTCTAATGGCTGTGATAGTAACTAAGCGACTGGTCTACTTATTGTAATTAAAGAATCGTGTTTGGAAGAGATCAGTGCCAACAGCAAACAACTTCTTTTAGTGATGATCCCATACTGGACAACCACGAAGACACCTGTGATGTGACATACATGACATATATATGAAATATTAGAATGTGTATGTCACACACTAAATTAAGTACATCGTAATAATAATTATTTTATGCTATAACCACGTACAACGATTAAACCACTTACTTCACCAAAGGGTTATTCGAATGTTCACCGCGGAGGATTACATTGATTCGAATAATAAATGCATTTTGTGAAGTGTCTGAGGGATGGAAACGCTTACGTGTCACGTCACTAAGGCATAACATGGTATATTTGAAAGAATATTCAACAGAGACTTTCATCGGTAATGACATCGCTATGGCTAGAACATTGTGACAGATAAAAATGCATTATTACACTTAGTATAAGTACCAACACCATTAAGGTTTTACGTCACATGGTATTCAATCTATACACTAGACATAATGAAGAGATGAGTTGATGCACACAGTTTCCATAGAAATTCAGTGTTTTGAAATGACCAGATTACAGAGTTGTTATCCGCCTATATGAGTTCGTTTCGTGTGTTTGTATTAAAAAATACCGTTTGTCATTGTTAAT